TCGAATTTGGAATTGAAAATGAGCGTTTTGGAAAGAAATCAGTGCATGGAAAAGTTCACAGACTAGCGTGCGTTATAATTACAACTAGTAAAACTAGATGTAGAGAAAACTTTTAAAAAGCCACCCCTTACACACACACACACATAGAGTACTTTATTCACAGCAGGTAGAAATGAAGAAAAAAAACTGTTTCAAAGCTCGATAAGTTGAAAAGAGCACTTACCAAGCTCCCAGCGGGTTTTAGCTCTATTCCAGGTTTGATCCCAGAAGACCGATTGACCTGGAAAAAAATACATGTTGATCAGTATGTGGTTTCAATTACTAAAGTGAAGCTAAGTAGCTGTGTTAAATATCAATTTCCATAATTGGATAATTCCAAAGACATTAATGGATAGAAGAAGCTAAATCCCAGCTTGTTTGGGAGCAACATTGATTTCTATCGATCGGCGATTCTTGAATGAAAAATAGGTGGCAGGGATAAAATTACTAAAAGTACGTACAAAGTTGGGGCGATCGATATATTTACGAATATTAAAATTAATCTGAAGCTGAAGAGCTAATATTTATATTGATTGATTTATTGTGAGCATAAAATTTTCTGAGCTTCATATCTACATTATATGTTTGAAACTCATAATCCTATAACACAATTTTTTTAAGCAGTTAGGTATGATTTAAAAGTGGACAAATATAGCTCTTGGCTTGTATATTCAACATAACTTACGCCACTGGTTCCTGCTTATAAATGTATGTACAAGAGAAATATGGGTGCCGATTTTCCTGCAAATGAAACCACTTCGTACTCGTACCATTTCTTTCAAGTGTAACAGTTTAGTAATTTCACAATTCACAAACGAGAAATTTTCTAATTTACGAGTCAAACGAGTCCATTTCCTTTTATTGTAATTTTAATAACTAGTAATTACCTTAAATTCTTATAAATGTTTCAACTTTCTGGAGGTTTTAGGAACTTTAGAACGCTCCTAATGGATTATTTTTGATATGATGTCATAAACATTGCTATTACATGGTGGATCAAAAAACAATGAACTACAGACTAACTGCAATTTCTACAGGGTGGTTCTCACTGAAGCAGTTTCGCTTCTTTAACAGTTGGAAATCTAGAGATACTACAATTCTAGTGGTGTCCATCGTCGCCAGCATTCCTTATGGAAAACTTTATATTTTCGGAAATACAGGGCGTTTAAAGTCGTATAAAGTATGAACGCCCAATTTTGGAAATATCAAATTGATATTTCAGTCCGTTTTTCTGAGAGAAATGGATTCAATCAAAACTAACAATGCGTAACAAATCATGTAACATTTTAAATAATCAACCAAGAAATGGGCGTAATAGTTATTTAAAGTAGTTGTTCAAAAGCACCATTTACACTGATACACTTTACACAACATATTTGGATTTTGTTGGCAGCTACTTGAAAATCCAATCGGCTCTTTGTAAACTACATCTTTAGTTTGCAACCAATTTGAAAAGTCCAGAGGATTGAAGTCCGGACTTCTGGGTGGCCAAGCAATAAGGCTCCTAGCTCCAATTCAACGATTTGTGGGATTGTGAGAAAAAAGTGGCCGCGGTTCTTCTCGCGTAAACCACATTTTCTCCTTAAAATGAAATGGACATTATCAAGCAGCTCGGCCAAATATTTGTGGAAGAAATTGTAAAAAAAGTTGGCTATTTAATTGGGAACAAGTCCAAATGGCGCAACTCAAACATTTCTTCAAGCACCGCACCAAACACATTCGTTTTAAATTGACGTGGAAAGGGTCTTATTTTCACATCTTGGGCAGTCCTATGGGATCGTTGATTTGCTGTTCTTGTGAAAAATGGGCAGAACGTAAACAAGCAAGAGAATCTTGCGGCCTCAAATTTTGTTCAAGAGTAAAGTAAAGGGATATGGTTACTTATTTTTCAGACGTTGCTTCTTTTTTGTGGTGCTGTTGTTACATTTCGCACGTACAGCTCTTGTTTCTCCTACCCGATTGTAGACATTTCTAAATAGCTTGTTGTCTTCGCTGGAAATGCATTCCCCAATATCTTCGAGCTGGGGAGAAGGCCATTGACATTTTCTTGTGTTCCACAACACGCAAAATGTTTAGTGATTTGAGACTCAGGCAGAGTTCCTGTTTCAGACTCAAAAGTCTACGAGGGACTGCATATTTGAAGGTACCGACTGGTGAATATTTCTCACTAAAACTTGATTAAGGGAGGCAATCTGAGAATGTCCAATAGCCACTTGTTTAATCGCGATAAACATTTTTCTTTTCTTTTTTGTTTTTCTCAGTTAATCCAGCACCTCAAAACTTGCCAATAACCAACTTAAGTTAAGAGAGTAGAGAGTTTTTAGGTCCCTTAAAATTACGTTGGCCTTAAACACTAATCGTTATTGTGATCATGCGCAGCGTTAAAAAAATAAGGTGTTCAGGCAAATAACGTTAAGTGCGGTTTTTAGTTTTGGATACCGCGTTTCTTGCACTTTTAATAAAATAAACCTCACTTTATTATTTTCTTATCCTGTTTTGTTTGGAAAAGTTTCAAAGCTACTTTAAGTTTGTATTGTTATTAAACAAAAAGTGGTTAAGATGGAAAAAAACATTGAAGCTGCCTTTCTGCACCGAAATGACCAGGGAGATGTGGATCACGATTTAATAAGAGGCTTAATTTTATGACATCTTGGACCCTGTTGGAACCTGTTGTTGCAAACCGAATAGCTATTTTTAATTTAGAAAATATAGAGCCCAGAGATCGCCTTATCAGTTTAAGGTTTCAGAAGAAACATATTCCGAACATAATAAATAAAAATTCATAATCAAATAGTAAGGTTATGGGATAGAAGTTAGAAACTGTGCTTGCGATGTTAGTAGTGTTGCAAAAGTTCAAATTTACCCAAACAATTTTCACATAAAATCCGTAATTACGCAATAATGGCGTAAACTAACCAATGAAGAAGTATTATTTAAATTTACTAATATTTCGTATTCTATTATATCCGCTTATTTCATTAATAATATTAGAAATAAGTCAAAAATGTCAACATCGTCGTTCTGCTTTTTAACATGATGCTTATTAACGTTACTGCTACTCGTACGTAAATAAAGGATCACGTTATCCTTTAATAACGTAAACGGTTATTTCTTTACTAATGCGCATGCTCAGAAGAACGGATAACGTCCTTGTTAACCTCTTATAATCCAGACTTTTTAAGTAACCTCGAAAGTAAAAGCCTATGAAATCACGACGCCATTCATCAATTCATCGAATTCAAATGTATACTTTGGCTTTAAATTACTAGGCAATACAGTGAGCATTGATTGAGTAAATTGGAGAAAAGAGCCCGAATTAAAATAGATTAGCCCAGCAATATGTTAGTCAAAATCCCGTTAAGCTTTGTGAGGAATTTCAATTGAAACTGTAGAAACCATGGAATCAAATTCAAATTGAAATGGGAAATTTAACGCTTTAGTATTACGGAAATAAGGAAGAAAGGCATGTTTGGTTCAATTTTTTTGTTTCACATTGCAAATCTGCTGTTTGTTACTCAACGACCTACGAAAAATAGATATAATGTGAAATATAAAAACCTAAGCTAAGCAATGGAAACAAGGACATTTGTCAGTAAACATAACTTAAAAGTTGGAAGTTACGGTGTAACATTGCAGTACTTTTAGAAAGTTTATCAGGAGAAGCGTTAAATATTTTCAATTCAAGAAATACTCTTACAACTTGGAAAAGTTCTATGTTATCTTCTTAAGATGCTAATAACCGATCTCGTTCTTTAAAGCTGTTGCTAAAAAATTATAATTGTGGTTTATACGCTTACGTTATAATACCCCATGTTTTTTCTATTCTGTGAGGTTTCCTTAAAGCGCTCTTTTAGAGAATGTCCATTAACTAAGGGCAACTACATGCATACCTGATTTTTTTCAAAACTTGTTTCTTGGGTATTTTGACTCAAAATACTTGTTTAAAAAGACAGAATTTCCTCACGGTTTCTATTGCCGATTGATTAAGAGTGCTTTTGTTTCACTTTCATCAAAAGACAATCTTGATTACCTTTTGATTTGATGAACGAATGATCGACTGATTTTTTTTTGATAAATAAATCAAGTATCAAGTTAATTAACAAAAAAAATTATTCTCATTAAAACTTAACGTAAGTCCACATACTGTAACTTAATTTAATATAATGATGCCTGAATGTTCCAGACATTTGTCTGCATCATGTAAATAAAAATGATTTCAAAAAATTACCACATACGCACTAAATATTAATTTAATTGAAATACACTCAAAACCAATTTAATTTATTTAATTTCAATGAAAAGAAAAATACCTGAAATACCCATGTCGTCCTTTATTGTGAAATAAGAGCAGTGTCTTCAATCTATAATAGAAAACGTGAGTAAATTCTGTGTTTTAAAAGACAAAAATTTAGACCAAGAAAGAGGTTTTGGAAACATGAATCCACTTCAGCGTATCGCACTTACTTTTTTTAGAAAAGATTGCATATACGCATGACAAGATTGAGGTTCCCCACGATTGAAGCAATATGGCTTTTATTTTTTAAATTCCGAGCACTCTTCATGTACGTGCTCTGATTATTTATCAGAGAAAATCATATAAAAGTAAGATAACGACTGATGAATCTCATAAAATAATCATTAAAGGTAGGCCTGATTAAAAAAAGCTTTGATCTAGCGTGTTTACGGATCATATTCAACCAAATCCAAGTATCCTCCTTCCTCCTCCATCATACCATAAACAATTCAACGAAGATTTTCCAAGTGCATCTTTATTACGTGAAAATTTGCTGGAATATATTACACCATAAAGGAGGCGAACGGATCCCATCCATAACCGTTTATCTTCAGAATAGCGCGGGAGTTTCCCCCAAAATCGATCAAGCCGGATATTTCACAACTTTGACCTTTTATTTGAATAATACCGGAAGCTTTTTTAACAATCACTATTTGCTTTGTTCCAGGTAATCCCGCACCTCAGTTCAAGTGGCTGAAGGATGGCAATCCGATCACGGAATTTTCGACCGATCCGTTCTACAAGATTATTTCCGCCAAGTTGGAGGATGGTGGCAGTTATCGATGCATCGCATCAAATAAGATCGGCTCGATTCTGAGCGAAGAGCTCAAAATCATTGTTGCATGTAAGTCATGGAGAATTTGAAATTGCAGCAGACCGAAGCAACGAAAACTGAGTCGAAAGCAAAGTGATTACTTTGTATACTTTGACTATTAAAGTTTGATTTTAGTTTGTTGAAGCCTTTGCTAATGCTCTTTTTAAATTTCGATTATCATATCGAATTAAGGAGGTTAAGTTAATTAGGAGTAATTCGATAATTTACATAAACGATTGTATTAGAATTGCTAGGAAATGATCTGTATGGCTCATTGCAACATAAATAATACTATATAAATTAGCAAACACATTGTTTAAAATTATTTGCATTTTGTCAATTAGCAACAACGGAAAAGCATAAAATAGATAAACATTAATTACTTAGGTATTATTATTGTTGTGATTTTTCTTTTAGTTTTTTCCTCAAAAAGTTTATAGGCGTATGTTAATATTTTTTTTCTTAATTTGTTTACGAGAATTGGATAGAAATAATACATCGGACATCGGTTATATTTATTTCTACACCATCAGGGCCGACTACCGTTGTGTTTTATGGGGATTCGAAAGTTTCGAGGCGCGAAATAGAGGCAGAATTGTATAAAATACTGAATACTTTTTAATTAAAAATCGGTGGAAAATCAGGATACAAACACAAAACCGACTAGACAAACCAGACCAAGAAAACATCGAGGTCAAATCGTTTTAAATCGACAATAACACGATTATTTAGGCATTTTTATATCAACAGAGAAAACAGCTCAGTTTTTTTAAATTGTGTCACCATGTATACTGTTTCCATTTTCCGTCCGAGTTTGACTCCAAGTTTTTTTTCTGAAGAAACCCACCTACATTTTCTTGATTTACTTCAATATTATGCTAAACATACAAATTAAGCAAATATAAATGTATCCAGTAACGAAATTCAACTATACTAGTAGGTCAATATAGAAACGAAAAAATTTAATTCGAATACAATTTTGGCGCTAAAAAACTACATTTAATTTAAAACAGATATTGCAGTTCCGTTCTGGGTATTGTGAGCAAATCACATTAATTTTCGCTCTATTCAGTGTTAACCATAACTAACCATAGTCAAAGGGCCCGTAGAGAATTGTTTTCCTGGATGAATGAATGACTGAATGATCAGAGCAGATTGCCAATTGCAAACACTAGACAGAGAAAAAGAGCAAAATCAGTAAATTTCAGATTTTATTTTATTTTTTTCAATACGCATATTGTTGGCTCAATAGGGTCTAAAGAAGCGTTTAATTTATGAAAATACTGCATTTTCCTTTCGAATGATATAATGCATTTGTTCTCAGATATGAACGTGTTTAAAGACCAAAGCGAAAGAACAGTGGACGTGATGGAAGGAGAAGCGGCCGTTCTGAATCTTCCAGAAATCGACTCCGTTCCTGCACCGGACGTGACTTGGCAAACTGACGAAGGACCGTTGCCGTACGCTCAGAAATACGCAAAATCGAAATCGAATCAGCTCATTATTCTATCGACTGAGCCATCGGATCAGAAGCCCTACAGGTACCAAACGAAGCAAATTGTGCATCTAATTGATGCATAATTTGCGCTTCGTATTTTGGAATAAACCGATAGTATCGGATTTGCAAGGAAATTGTGCTTAGATAAACCGGATTCTTAAAAGATTGTTTTTCCAATTCCCTTTACCGATTGTATTTGTCTTTCCATTGCGAAGTATCATGTCAAAAAACCTTCTTCCATTGTAATTTACAAAGCTGTCCATCTTTCCATATGATTTATAACTTGTACAGCATGCGATCCTTCCAGATTTATACAGGCTTCTTCTGTTTTTTAAGATAATTCTTACCCTCGATAGCTAGGAAAGCTTAAGATACGATAAAAATTGGTTTGTTTCCAGACAAACGAGGGTGTGATTCACTAGAGTTGATGTTTGGGAAAAGAAGTACAAAATATTTTAAGAAACTTGTTTTTTAAACAATGAACTGTTAACACAGATTTGTTTAAGCATCAATTATCGCCTTTGAGCGTGATATGAAGAAACGTTTAAAAGCACATACGCTTAATTAGTTTTCACAACTTTCCACAGTCAGAAGTATATTTGTCCACACATGGTGTTTAAAAGAACCAATATTTACATGCCAGGTTTGTTTCTGTAAATGAAGCTCAGTGCATATTTTATTAGTATTATTCGATCAAGGTGTCCTTTAAATAATAATTCAGGTTTTGGGCGCACGCAAAAAAGGGAAACTATGACAAAAATGTTGAAATAATACGTTGAATATGTATGTACAATCGCTAAAACAGCAGTCAGAGATCATCGACAAAATGTTGAAATTCGATGGTAGCGTAGTAGTCAAAAGATGCCGGAAAATATTGTGCCTAGTCCCGTTACCTGGAATACATAAGTTAATAAAAAACAACGAAAAAAATAAAGAAACATTTTACTAAAAATCAGGCTTTTAATACATTAATTGTTTTTCGATGCCAGATTAAGCGGCAGAACTCTCGTGAACGACAGTAAAAATTATCTCGTCGGTCTTTCCCTTTCATTCCTACGGCAATAAAGTAAAAAATATGACTGCTATCGGTTTGAAAACAATTCACGTTTTTTAATTAATTTATCTTTGGTCTGGTGACTCTTGTGTGCATGTGCATTCACATCTTCAACTCTCCAAAATTGTGTTTTGACACTTTTGATGTGGTTTTTCAATCTATCGTTACAAAGAATATGCTCTAAACGCTCCTTAAATCATTGAAACATACTTATCCAACAGGTAAATTTATCGAAGCAAAAAGTGTTTGTCTTGGGGCACCCTGTAAACTGCTGACACCATGTGAAGTATTTTCCAATAAAACGACATCCCATGTTTCACAGTTGGAGACTTAATGCTGCTCAAGATTCTTCTGCTCGTTTGAGCCATATATTTTTCAGCGCTCAAACGATTTTACATTTTCCGCCCATATGTTCTGAGTGAAATATCATTTTACAGCATTCGCAATAAGAACGCTTTACAAACAATGCCCTAAATAGGTTAAACATGGGCGGACTTTACAATTCCACCCAATCGAAACTGGCTTATTAGGGGCTGAAACTGAAAAGTAATCGACAACGATCTTCCCTTAATAATTCAATTCTTTACTGGTTTATTTATTTATAAATCCGCTGCCATAACCCCCGGTAACCTGGTTCACTTTGTTCGTGGAAAATCAATGAAATACATCCTGGACAAAGAAACCTATAGTGTTTCCAAACCTACTTGACAATGATAAATAAGCTTTCAATTGTCTGCTTTAACAAGACATTATCTTTAATAATCGTCGATTTGGTTAGTGAAAATTGAAGTAGCTGATAAGCTGCCGAAGCTTGGTAAGATCACAACTTTATGGAACAAGACTGTTCTATTTCTCTGTACTCGTACGTTTTGAGAATTCAATTCTCCTGTCCTGACTTATAACTATTTACAACTTGCATACTAACCGAAAAATTAAATTATCAGCTACAAAAAAATTGTATTTGCATATTGAGGGACAGGCGAGTTTTTAAGCCTTTCAATAATTCTTGAAGGGCGCGAGCAATCAATACGCAAGAAGGCAAGGAAGAGAACAGCGCCTTTATCCGGCTGAATGTGATAAAATCGTCGGACAACAGGGAACTCGCCCCCGAAATCATAGTCGGCCCCGACGACTTGCAGATAGTCAAAGGAGCGTCCGAGGCTACTTTGGACTGCATTGCCAGCGCTCGGCCCCTCTACGAACTGGAAACCTTATGGTTCAAAGATGGGATACCCATAGAGACTGCCGGAATCTCGTATTCGCTCAACGATATCTGGAATCGAAGTTTAGCCCTGGTATCTATCAATACTACGCATAGCGGAAGCTACCAATGCAGTGTGAATTTGAGATCGGGAGGGTTTCCCAATGTTACTGCCACCGCCCAGGTGAGGACTTTGCTTATTGTACTGAAACATATATTGCCCGAAAAAACCGGTCAATTTCGAATTGTTTGATTCATCAATCGCATAGTGAGGGTGTTCGATTTTAAATAGGTGGTAGTTTTGGAGAAACCGAGATTCCTCAGCAATGCCAAGCCGGAAACATTAGCGGATTATGGCTCTCAGCTGAACCTTCCGTGTGATCTGATCGGCAACCCCCAACCCAACGTAACTTGGTACCGAAACTCGCAGGAACTGGACCTGAGCGATCAGAGGTAAGCGAACAGATCGCAAGATAAAAACAACCACTTACTAACAAATTTTCAGATACGTGATCGAAGAAGACAACTCGTTGCTGATCAAAAAGTTACTGATCAGCGACAATTCGATGTACCAATGCTTTGCAAGGAACAAAGCGGGAGAGAGTTCG